GGATATCGGCCAAAATCCCAATATCGTGCATCCCTAGTGGAGTCAGAGTAAAAAAATGCACGCCCAGGAGAAGGCCAGTGGCTGGAAGTTGGAGGGGATTTCACTGAGAGTCGCAGGGGAGTAGGATGCCATTCTGCTGCCGTTTGAAAGGGACGGGCCATTTTGAATGGCTACTTCTGTATCTGGGTAGGTTCAGAGAAAAACATTTCTTTATGACTTGAAGCCTAAACTAGCGAGGGAGGTGATGGCCTCAAACTGGAACTTCAGTCTGAAGTAAAATCAAACAATCGTATTCTTCTGCGTTCACCTGTTGGACTGATTGAGCTCATTCTGCCATTTAAGTTCTCCGCTCTCAAGGACGCTGTCATACCACAGGATCAGGCTGCTGGGCACGTGCTCGTGCATCTGCTGTGTCAGATAAGCTAGAAACGACGCTGTGTTTCGCACCGCTGTCTCCTGCAAATCACAGTTTACTGGATTAGTTCAGAGGTTTCAGACTTCTGGATTAGCAATATGAGGAGGTGCACAACTGTTTAAGATTGGTCAACCAAGACAACAGCTAAAGCATTTTACTTTCTACTCAGTTCGAAAATACTTTATTAATTCCAAAGGGGAATAAATGGTTGAGAAACTTCTATGAGTTGTTTGTATGAAGCTGTTGGCAGGAAGGATCTTCTGCAGCGGTCTGTCTCTGAATGAAGCCACTCTGTTGATGTTTAAAAGTTGAGAAAAAGGATGCCAACTGTCGTCCATAATCTTCTTCACTTTATGAAGAATTCTGCTTTCTGAAATCATCTTTAGAGTTCCTAGAACTCTGATGCTGTTACCCCAGCAGATGATGGAGGGATGAAGGAAGAGATCACACTCTCAACAATAGACTGATAGACGATATGCAGCATCCAGTCTGCTATGTTCCTTCTTGTAGACCACTTCACAGTTGCGTCTCCAGTCTAGTTTGTTGTCCAGGTGAACACCAAGGTATTTCTACCCCTCCACCACCTTCACTTCTTTTCCTTTGGTGTTAAGAGGATTCAACTTGTTCCTGTTTCTACTGAAATCTACAATCATCTCCTTGCTTTGTTGACATTCAGGATCAGATCATTGTTTCCACATTATGCCATAAAGCTGTTCACCAGCTTTCCGTACTCCGCTTCTTGTCCATTTTTGATTAACCCAACGACTGCAGAGTCACCCCAGTATAACTGCAGATGAAAGGACTGTCTGGTCCTGGAAGTCAGAGGTGTACAGAGTAAAAAGGAATGGAGAGAGTACTGTTCCCTGCGTAGCTCCTGTTACCTGCTTGTTTGTTTGCTGAGGTAAACCAACAGAAGTGTCTCTAGGACTTTCATGATGTGGGATGTCAGGGTAACAAGTCTATAGACAGACAGCTGAAAGGTGGAGGGAGCCTATGCTTAAATTTAGAGGGGTAATGATACCAGACAGAACGTGCAGCCTGGGCTCTGGAACCCAGCTTCTTCAGGGTGGCTGCACACTCTGTGGTCAGAGGTTTGCTTACACCCCCCCAGTGGATGAAAGGGTTACCCCTTGCTCACACTGGCTCCGGTGC